AGATCTAGTCCCTTAAATCTATTTCTCACTTCCACTGTATAATGGTAAGGGATTTGATTTAGGTCATACCTGAATGGTCCAGTTCACAGACTGCCAATAAATATCTGTATAATCAATGCTATGGTCTTCCCAGTGGTCACTTATGGTTGTGAGAGCTGGACCATAAAGAAGGCAGAATACCTTCAATACCAAAGAATTGATGCCTTCGAACTGTGGTGCTAGAGAAGAGTCCTGAAAGTCCCTTGGACAGCAAGGAGATCAAACCAGTCAATCTTAAGGGAAATCAACTCTGAATACTTGTTGAAAGGACTGATGCTGAAGCTGAATCTCCAGTATTTTGGTCATGTGATGTGAATGGCTGATGTGAATGTCACTGGAAAAGTCCCTGATGCTGGGAAAGACTGAGGGCAGAAGAAGAAGGTGTCAGAGGATGAGATGTGGATGGTATCACTGATACAATGGACATGAACTTGGGCAAGCTTCAGGAGATGGTGAGAGACAGGGAGGCCTGGTGTGATGCAGTCCATGGGGTATGAGTCAGACATCACTGGGCAACTGAACAACAATAACCATTGTTCAAAAACACGTAAATCACCCCAAAGAAATATGCAAATAAATTGTGGTAATTATACCATGTCATGACTAAAAATCAAGTTTTCAAAGACTAAATAATGACAAATGGGAAGTGCTTTAAGATAAGTGAAAAAAAACAAACATGGAAAAAACAGAAAATAGAAACAGAAAAGTGTATAGTATTACAAAACAATATTAATACAGTAAGATATTGGCATAAAAACACACATACATAGATCAATGGAATAGAATGGAGAGCACAGAAATAAACCCACACATATGGTTAATTTATGACAAAGGAGCCAAAAACACATTGGGAAAAGATAGTCTCATCAATAAATGGTGTTGGAAAAACTGGATAGCCACATGTAAAAGAGTTTAAAGCTGGACCAGTATCTTAAACCATGCACAAAAATAAATGGATTTAAGACTTGAAACCACAAAACACCTAGAAGAAACAGAGGGTAAGGCCCTTGAAATTGGTTTTGACAATTGCTTTTTGGATTTTATACCAAAAGCAAAGGCAACAAAAGCAAAAATAAAGAGTGGAATAACATCAAAGTAAAAAGCTCTCTATGGTATAGGAAACCATCAACAAATGAAAAGGCAACCTACAAAATGGGAGAAAATATTTGCAAATCTTATATCTGATAAAGGGTTAATATCCAAAATATATAATGAACTCATAAAACTCAACAGAAAAAAAATCCAATCAAAAGATGGGCAGAGGAAATGAACAGACATTTTTCCAAAGAAGACATACAAATGGCCAACAGGTACATGAAAAGGTGTTCAACATCACTAATTAGCAGGGAAATGCAAATTGAATCCACAATGATCTAACATCTCACACCTGTTAGAATGGCAGCTAACAATAAGTTTTGGTAGGGATGTGGAGAAAAGGGAACCCTGTGTACTGTTGGATGCAGTCACTATGAAAAACAGTATACAGGTTCCTCAAAAAATTAAAAATAGAACCACCATATGATCCAGCAATTCCACCTCTGGGTATTATCTGAAGGAAACAAAACCACTATCTTGAAAAGACACCTGCATCTCCATGTTCATTGCAGCATCATTTGCAATAGTCAAGAAATGGAATGGAAACAACTGAATTGTCCATCAACACATGAATGGATAAAGAAAATAAAATGAGAATATTTTAACACACACACACACACACCCCTCTTTAAAAGAAGGATATCTACCATTTGTGACAACATGGATGGACCTTGAGGGCACTGTGCTAAGTGAAATAAATGAGATAGTGAAAAGCAAATATTGTGTGATATCTCTTATATGTGGAATCAAAAGAAAGCCAAACTCATAGATACCCCACTAGATGGTGGTTGCCAGAGGTGGCGAGGAAAGGGGCAATGGGTGAAAGTAGTGGAAAGTATAAATTTCCAGTAATAAGATAAATGACAGTGTCTTCCTGGCCCCTAGCTGACTGGGCCCCTTTTCCTGCAGTGCTCCTGAGTCTGATATGGTGGGACAACTCACCACCACCATGGGAATGAGCTCATGGTAGTTTTGCCAAGAGAATGCACTGGTCATAGCAAACACCCTCTTCCAACAACACAAGAGAAGACTCTACACATGGACATCACCAGATGGTCAACACTGAAATCAGATTGATTATATTCTTTGCAGACAAAGGTGGAGAAGCACTATACAGTCAGCAAAAACAAGACCAGGAGCTGACTGTGGCTCAGATTATGAATTCCTTATTGCCAAATTCAGGCTTAAATTGAAGAAAGTAGGGAAAACCACTAGACCATTCAGGTATGACCTAAATCAAATCCCTTATGATTATACAGTGGAAGTGAGAAATAGATTTAAGGGACTAGATCTGCTAGACAAGAGTGCCTGATGAATGATGGTCGGAGGTTCGTGACATTGTACAGGAGACAGGAATCAAGGCCATCCCCAAGAAAAAGAAATGCAAAAAAGCAAAATGGTTGTCTGTGGAGGCCTTACAAATAGTTGTGAAAAGAAGAGAAGCAAAAAGGAAAGATATTCCCATTTGAATGCAGAGTTCCAAAGAAAAGCAAGGAGAGATAAGAAAGTCTTCCTCGGTGATCAATGCAAAGAAATAGAGGGAAACAATAGAATGGGAAAGACTAGAGATCTCTTCAAGAAAATTAGATAGGGAACATTTCATGCAAAGATGGGCTCAATAAAGGACAGAAATGGTATGGACCTAACAGAAGCAGAAGATATTAAGAAGAGGTGGCAAGAATACACAGAAGAACTATACAAAAAAGATCTTCATGACCCAGATAACCATGATGGTGTGATCACTCACCTAGAGCCAGACATCCTGGAATGTGAAGTCAAGTGGGCCGTAGGAAGGATCACTATGAACAAAGCTAGTGGAGGTGATGGAATTCCAGTTGAGCTATTTGAAATCCAAAAAGATGATGCTGTGAAAGTGCTGCACTCAATATGCCAGCAAATTTGGAAAACTCAGCAGTGGCCACAGGACTGGAAAAGGTCAGTGTGCATTCCAATCCAAAAGAAAGGCAATGGTAAAGAATGCTCAAACTACTGCACAATTGCACTCATCTCACATGCTAGTAAAGTAAGGCTCAAAATTCTCCGACCCAGGCTTCAACATATGTGAACCATGAACTTCCAGACGTTCAAACTGGTTTTAGGAAAGGCAGAGGAACCAGAGATCAAATTGCCAACATTCACTGGATCATTGAAAAAGCAAGAAAGTTCCAGAGAAACATCTATTTCTGCTTTATAGACTACGCCAAAGCCTTTAACTGTGTGGATCACTACAAACTGGAAAATTCTGAAAGAGATGAGAATACCAGACCACCTGGCCTGCCTCTTGAGAAACCTGTATGCAGGTCAGGAAGCAACAGTTAGAACTGGACATGGAACAACAGACTGGTTCCAAATAGGAAAAGGAGTACGTCAAGGCTGTATACTGTCACCTGGCTTATTTAACTTATATGCAGAGTAAATTATGAGAAACGCTGGGCTGGCTGAAGCATAAACTGTAGTCAAGATTGCCAGGAGAAATATCAATAAACTCAGATATGCAGATGATACCACCCTTATGACAGAAAGTGAAGAAGAACTAAAGAGCCTCTTGATGAAAGTGAAAGAGGAGAGTGAAAAAGTTGGCTTAAAGCTCAGTATTCAGAAAACTAAGATCATGGCATCTGGCCCCATCAGCTCATGGGAAATAGATGGGGAGACAGTGGAAACAGTAGCTTACTTTATTTTGGGGGGCTCCAAAATCACTGCAGATGGTGACTGCAGCCATGAAATTAAAAGCCACTTCCTCCTTGGAAGGAAAGCTATAACCAACCTAGACAGCATATTAAAAAGCAGAGACATTACTTTGTCAACAAAGGTCCGTCTAGTCAAGGCTATGGTTTTTTCAGTAGTCATTTATGGGTGTGAGAGTTGGACTGTAAAGTAAGCTGAGCACTGAAGAATTGATGCTTTTGAACTGTGCTGTTAGAGAAGACTTCAGAGTCCCTTGGACTGCAAGGAGATCCAACCAGTCCATCGTAAAGGAAATCAGTGCTGAAAATTCATTGCAAGGACTGATGTTGAAGCTGAAACTCCAGTACTTTGGCCACTTGATGCAAAGAACTGACTCATTCTAAAAGACCCTGATGCTGGGAAAGATTGAGGGCAGGAGAAGGGGATGAAATAGGTTGAGATGGTTGGATGGCATCACTGACTCAATGGACCTGAGTTTGAGTAAGCTCCGGGAGTTGGTGATGGACAGGGAGGCCTGGAGTGCTGCAGTCCATGGGGTCGCAACGAGTCGGACACGACTGAGCGACTGAAGTGACTGCTTAGTAAGATAAATAAGGCCTGGGGATATAATATATAGCACAGTGACTATAGTTAACAAGATCCTATATTTGAGAGTTGCTAAGAAAACCCTAAAAGTTTTCATTACAAGAAAAAAAACAAAAACAAACTATGTGTGGTGATGGATGTTAACTAAAATTGTGTTAATCATTTTGCAACATCTATTAAATCATTATGTCACCCACCTAAAACTAATACAATGTTACATGTTACTTTTATTCCATTAAAAGTGTGTAAAAGAAACCAGTAGTTACTCACTGATAAAGCTGGATGGTGAGATTAGAAGTAAATTTATTTTCTTCTTAAAACTTGCTTTGAATAAAATAAACACTTCAAAGAAAATGGTTCAGGTTTTAATTTAACAAGTCACGTTAAAAATCTCTTAGTTTAGGTAAGCTACTACAAAACAGATACCAAAATAAAAAGTAGCAACTGAAAAGGGGAAAATTTTCAAAACTAATTTAACTCATATTGTTATAGTATAAAATTATTACGTACTGCTGCCTACAAGGACTACAGGTCAATAGATAACTTCGATTCATTACTAAGGCGCATAGATCTGCCATATTGCTAAATCATACCTTCAGAATAGCTATAAGCTTGAGAAGTATCAACTATTTTGTCCATTGAGAATGAGTTGTGTGACTCCTGAGAATGTTTCTCCACCACTTCTACTGTATCACTGGATGAAGATGATGATGAAGACAAACCCAGTCTAACATATCTTCCTTTTTTACCACATAGTGAACAATCTACTGGTGTGGCACTAGGTCCCCGGGGCAGTTGAACTTCATCTCTGTTGTAGTTTCTAACAGCTCCACTGTGATGCACAGAGCGTTCTCGTTGCCATATATAATGGGTTGGAGCAATGGCCATAACCTATAGTGGAAAGCTTTCTTTTAGAATTTTTAATAAGATTTTAAAATTTAGTGAAAGAACAAAAATTATAACTTAAGAACAGCTATCTCTATAACTAGATCTAAAAAAATGTTTTTTAAAAAAAGCATCTCCAGATAGGGCAGTATTACCTATAAAGTGATTCATTGCTTGGATTCTTAAGATAACAATTGGTAGAATATTTAAATTATTTCTAACAGGAAATAGAACTGAAGCAACTTTCCAGGTTTTGCTCAGATATTCTAGGTTTGGGAAAGAAAATGCCCCCCAAATAATACATCATTCTTAACTTTGGAATGTATTGGGTTGAGAATATTTTTAATTGAGGTTTCCACCTATGCATGTTTATCTTAGCATGTCTGCAATAATAGCAAGAGATATGGTAAATGAGAACACAGGTAAGTTGCTTAACCTCTCTGTTCCTGTTTTCTTGTCTGTAGTATGGAGAGAAAAATACTGTCTATTTTAGCGGGTTGTTGCAAGTATTAGATGAGGAATCATTTAGAAAGTACTGAAGATTCTGCACTACATGTCAGACACTGTTCTCTAAGGTGTTAGATAAGATACTGCCTTTAGAGTCGGGATAGACTTAGTTTCTTATCCTGGCTCTGCCACTTGCTAGTTGTATGACGTTAGTTACTTAACCTTTAGGAGCCTCAATTTCTTCATATCCAAAACTGGGGATACTATCTGCCTCATAGGATTGTCCTGAAGGTTAAATATGTATAAAATCCTTATCACACAGTAAACATCTGGCCAATGAAAGCAAATGATAGCCATTTAAGAAGACAAGCTAGGGAAGTGTACCTACCTGTTGACCTCATGGTGTCTAAAACTTCAAAACAGAATGTTAGAATGTTACTTCTAAACAAATAAAAATGTTTAGTTGCAGTTATCAATGGCCCAAGGTAAATTAGAAGCGTAGAATTTGACAGCTAGACAGTGCTTTTAAAAAATATTTAAGTTTCTGGCAAAACTATAATTCAAAAAGATAGACAGTGCTTTAGTTGCCTAGTCAAGTGACTTTTCAGACTGGTTTGAGGAGCCCTTGGTTTTACAGACAACGCTGGGGATCCCAGGAGGGGCTAAGGCAAGACAGAGCAGCTTGGAGAACCTCAATTTGGGGGATCGTATAAAATTTTGTTTGGAAAAAAGCTTTTGTTGTTAAGAATGAAAACCCTAACAGTATCCCCCCCCCTCCCCCCAGCCCCGGTTAAAGCCAAATCCCTCAGAAAATAGGGTTATTGCGGTTATTGTCTCACTTCAAGGCAATGAATAAAGAATACTAGCTATGCTAACTTTATGATCATTTCTTTTAAACTTTTTATTTTGTATTAGGGTATAGCCAGTGAACAATGGGATAGTTTTAGGTGAATAGCAAAGAGACTCAGCCATCCATATACGTGTATCCATTCTCCCCCAGTCCCCTTCCATCCACAGTGCCATATAACTTGAGCAGAGTTCCATGTAGCTATGCTAATTTTCAAAGTGTACTTTACAATTGGATTTATTTTATAATCTACTTCTTAAATCCTTGAAAAAAGTTTTCAACCAAAGACATGTAATGAAAGTTATATATCTTTTAAAAGGCAGAAGTAAATAAAGATGTTAACTGTAAACATATATATTTCTACGATAATATAAAATTTGGTTAAGAAATACCCAAGGTGAGGAAGTAAAATGTAAATTTTTCTTGTTCCTTCCAAATTTGTCTGTAATTTTTCCTCAGTATTTCTCTATTTCCCATATCTGGAATGGCCTTTCCCTTTATTTGTCTTAGCATTGCTTTTCCTTCAATGCCTGGCATAAATCCCACCTTTCTAGAAACTCCAGGTTTCAAATTTTATTTTATTGTTAATCCTATATTAGGACTCAGCATATAAATGTTAGTGCTCAGATATACCTTTTTATGCATGTAACCCCTTCCAGACAGGAACAGCTTCTTGTACATCTCTCTCTCAAATGCCCTCTCCACAACTGTGAAAGTGAAAGTTGCTCAGTTGTGTCCGACTCTTTGTGACCTTATGGACTGTATACAGTTCATGGACTTCTCCAGGCCTGAATACTGGAGTGGGTAGCCAGCTCCCTTCTCCACAACAGTACACAGTCATTAAATATTTCTTAATAATAGATGAAAATAAGAAATTAAGAGGTCACTGACATTACTAGCCTTCAACAACATAACTTTTGTAGGAACCCTACAGCAAAGTCTAATGAAGAGAGCAGAGGGAACTATGAAGTAAAGGGAACTCTGAAGCAAAGGGCACAATATAGAAGATTTGGTACTTCTGCAATAAACTAGGCATCAGTCTCTCCACATGCTAACCTAGAGAAATGCATGCAAGTGCACACTCTTTTAAATATATATGAGGTCTACATATATTTCACACACACATTAGAATGTTACAGTGATAAAAACAGTGAATTAAAAAGAAAACTGTACCACAGTCAAAAAAGCAAAATTTTGGTCTTAATTCTATTTAGGTCCTATGACCTTAGGGAAATTGCATTAACTTTTTGAGCCACAAGGCCTTTTATATATGAGACAACAGGTCACTTAAGAGTTATCAAACTCTACAATTCTATGAAAGTGACTTCTCTGAAGCATTGGTAGCACTTAACCTATCAGAAACATTATCCTAGTTTTTTTACTTCATCTCACTCTTCTGTTATTTTCAGTGATTTCTTGGTGGGGGGGTGGAGGTGGGCTTTGGTGAGTTTTTAAAATTTAATATTTGGCTGTTTTCTTTCTATACATTCTACTTCTCTGTGATCTCAAGTGGCAGTATAAGGTGTTAAAAGCAATGACTCTCAAGTTAGACTGCCTAGGTTTGAATACTGGTGTGCTGCTTTTCTAATTGTGTGACCTTGGAGAAGTCATTTAGTCTCTCTGTGCCTGTTTCCTTATCTGGATTACCTAGTTAGCTCTAAGAATTGTGAGAGTTAATACATGTGCAGTACTGAGACCAGTGCTCAGACATTACTTTCATTGTGGATCTTTTATCTACTACCAAACTTTAAACATCTCTTAATGAAATGACAGATGTCAGAGAACACAGAACACTGGGAAACCATCAGACGTGAAGTCAAGTTCTGGTTCTGCCATTTAACTATGTATGATCTTGAGTAAATTTCAACCTCCGTAGTCCTCAGTTCCATCAGTTATAAAATGAGAATGCTACAATCCTCAAAAGTACTTTTATGAGGATAAGAAGCTAATTTATGTGAAAATATAAATTTGTAAAGCACAATGCAAATGTATAGTATAATTATTGTAAGCCAGTTTGTAGCTAGTACTGTAACTTGCATTTATTTTAGGATATGTGACTAAAAAATGGGTTGGCAGTGTGCTAGTACTGGGCTCTTAATAACAAATGCATAGAACACTTAACTAAATTTCTTAGCATGTCTCCCCATGCCGCCCCCCCCCCCCACCCCGCCAAAATTATCTATCTGGGTATCTGAATAAGGGTCAGTGCTAAGGCTGCTCAGTAAAGAATTGTTCCATAGTCTTGTTTATTTTTAATTTTTTTTATTGAAGTACAGTTGATTCACAATGTTTCAGGTGTACAGCAAAGTGATGCATTTGTATACTTTCTCAGATTATCTTCCATTATTGATTATTACAAGATTCTGAATGTAGTTTCCTTGTTATACAGTAGAGGTCCTTGCTGTTGGTTTTCATGGATAAGAAAGTATGAAAAAGAAATGGAAGCTTTAAGTTCCATTATGTCAGTCAGTTGTATTTACTGAGTACCTACTACAAGTCAGGCACTGTTCTAGATACTGTACATGTAATAAGCACAAAATAAAGGCCCTCTTGGGGACTTCCTTGGCAGTCCAGTGATTAGGACACAGCACTTTCACTGCTGAGAGCTCAGGTTCAATCCCTGGTTGAGGGAACTAAGATCCTGCAACCTGCACAATGAAGCCAAAAAAAAAAAAAAAGACCCTCTTGGAATTTATATTCTAGTAGGGGGAAATAGACATCAGCAAGATAAGTAAGTAAAATAGTGTTATACAATGGCTAAGTGTTGTGAGGAAAACCAGGAAAAGGAGTAGAGAATAATAGAGGGACATACTACTTGCTATTTTACCAGCTTTATTGAGATATAACTCAGATATCATACAATTCACTGGTTTAAAGTATATAATTCAATGGCTTTTGATTTCTTCAGGGTAGCACAATGATTACCACAATCAATTTTAGTATTTTTTTTTTTAATTTTAGTACATTTTCATCACTTCATAGAGAAGGCAGTCACACTCCACTCCTCCCTCCCTTCAGCCTCAGGCAACCACTTTCTATGATTTTGGATTTGTGTATTCTTCACAGTTGATATAAATGAACTATGTGGCTCTCTAAGGACTGGCTTCTTTCACTTGCATAAGGTTTTCAGCATTCATCCACTTTGTAGCATGTATTGATACTTTATTCCTTTTAATTGCCAAGTAATATATCATTGTATTGATATTTTGTCTATCCATTCATTAGCTGCTGGACATTTCAGTTGTTTTTACAACTACTGACTATTATGAATAAGGTTGCTTGCTATAAACATTCATGTAGAAGTTTTCAAAAAATGTCTATTTATTTTTGGCTGTGCTGAGTCTTAATTGCTATACTTTCTCTAGTTGCAGCGAGTAGAAGCTACTCTCCAGTTGTGGAGCATGGGCTCCTCATTGTGGTGGCTTCTGTTGCAGTGCACAGGCTCTAAGGGCACGTGGGCTTCAATAGATGCTGCTCCTGGGCTGCAGAGGGAAAGCTCAGTAGTTGTGGCACACGAACTTAGTTGCTCCATGGCATGTGGGATCTTCCTGGACCAGGGATCAAACTGGTATCCCTTACACTGTAAGGTGGATTCTTAACCACTGGACCACCAGGAAAGCCCCATGTACAAGTTTTTGTGCCAACATAATTTTCATTTCTTTAGAGTATAAAACTAAGAGTGGAATTGCTGGGTCATATGGTCTCTGTTTAGCTTTTTGAGGAAGTGCCAGACTGTTTTCCAAAGCACCTAAATGATTTTACATTTCCATCAGAAGTCAGGGTTCCAATTTCTCCACATCCTTGCAATATTTGTTATTATCAGTCTTTTTTTTTAAATTATAGCCTTCCTAGTGCATGTAATGAAATATCTCCTTGATTTTGATTTTACATTTTTCTGATGGCTGTTGAGCATCTATTCATGTGCTTTTTTGCCCATCTGAATATCTTTTTTGAAGAAATGTGTATTAAGATCCTTTGCCTTTAGAAAATTGGGTTGTCTATTTTTGAGTTTTAAGAGCAAAGATTTTCTTCCAGTTTCTGGGCTGTCTCTTCACTTTCTTAATGGTGCCCTTTGAAGAACAAAATTTTTAAATTTTGATGATGCTCATTTTTTTATCTGTATTTTCTATTCTTGCTTGTGCTCTGGTTATTACAACTAAAACCTAATCCAAGGTCATGAAGATTTAACATCTATGTTTTAAGAATTTTATAGTTTTTAGCTCTTAAATATACGTCTTTGATCCATTTGAGTTAGTTTTTATATATATAATATGAAGCAGGGTTCCAGGTGCTTTCTTTTGCATGTGGATATCCAGTTGCTTCAGCACAATTTGTTGAAAAGATTATTCTTGCTCCACTGAGTTTTACTGGTACCCTTGCCAAGAAACATAAATTTCTGGACTCTTCAATTTTTATTCCATTAAGGGAGATACAATGGAATATAGGGTGGTAAGGAATGATTTCTCTGAGGCGACACTTGGCAGAGTCCTGCATGAAGTGAGGAAGTGAAGCATACTAACTAATATCTGTGGGAAAGCATTCCAGATAATAGGAGTGGCAAGTGCAAAGACTCCAAGGTGGGAGCGTCCTTGATGAATCTGAGGAATAGCTAGAAGGCCAGTGTGGTTAAAGTGAAGTGAACAAGGCTGGGAGATAAAGTCAACGAAATAAAGGAGGAGAGCTGGCAGACCATGTGGAGCAAGATAAGGATGTTGACTTTTACTCTGTGAGATGAGAAACCTCTGAAGGTTTTTGAGTAGAGGAGACATGATTTTATTTCCTAAAAGATTTACTCTGGCTGATATGAAGAATAAACTATAGGTGAGAAAGACTGTGAGGGAGTCTATTTGGAGAGTTATGGAAATAGTTGAGCCAAGAGATGACAATCAAAGTAGGGTTTAGTGGTGGAGAAGGTGAGAAATGGTAGGATGCTGGATATTTCTTTAAGGTATAGATACGAAAAAAAAAAAAAAAAGCCTAGGGTGACAGTTTTTGGCCAGCAACTAGAATGATGAAGTTACTGTTTATTGACATGTGGAAGACTGTAGGAGGAGCAAGTGTGGAGGTCTGTGTGGGACAATCAAAAACTCAAATTTTCAGCAAGTTAAGTCTGAGGTATCTACTAGATAATCAAATATGAAGTAGGAAATTAGACATGCCAATCTGGAATTAGGGGAGAGCTCTGATAGTTCTCAGTGCTGAAGCCTCAAGAGACAGAACTTTTCTGAAAATCCGACTGACATTTTCAGTGTCAGTGAAATGAGTGAAAAAGTCAATGAAAAATCAGTGAAAAAAAAAGTCATTATAACAACTGACTTTTCAGATGTCTAAAACATTGTAGTCTTATAAGCCACATCATTCTCTTAACAGTCTGGTGCCAGCAACCAAGGTAATTCCAGCTCCAACAGAATAAAACTGTTGCAGTTAAAATGTGAGTCATTGTAACTTAGGAGTGGTGGGCAGTCTACCAGGAGGAAGCATTGCCTATCCTGACCTCTTGCCTCCAGTGCCTCCTTCATGCACTTGACTGAGTGTTCCATGGAGCTTGAAGCATTTACTTTGATAAAATCAGTGTTCAAATAAGGGCACTATCATACCAAGGATGGCAACAGGTGCACAAATTACCCACTCCTGACCTGGGGAGGCAGTGACAAAAAAATAACAAGACAGGAATTTTTCAATGCACTGTAATTGGAATGAGTCCTTTAAATTCATTAATGAGGATCCACTAATGGAAGGGAGGTACTCATACATACTCATCCTTTCATATTTTTCTACTGAATATAATCATGTGCTGTACAGTCTTCTAAGTTATTTCTGAATCTTTGCATTTCTCCCAATATTCAACAATTCTAATTTAATCCAAAACCATGTATAACTTCTATAACTTCATCTGATTAATAAATATAATTAACAAGATTAGTTCTGGACAGAGTCCTGTGACACACCTCTAAAGTCTTCCCTCAGGTTGGACACTAATCCATTAATTGGCTTCTCTGGCCTGTAGTCATTAAACTAGATATGACTTCATTTAATTACAGCATTATCTCCCCAAACTTTTCTGAACTAGTTCTGGCTTACAGTGATCACTGCCTTCCATTAATTTTCTACTCCAATATTTTTAGTTTGAAACATTAACTTTCTTTACTGAAAACCAGAACATCAGATATAAAATAACTCATCTTTTAATTTAGTGTCTGCTTTACATTAAGAGAATCTGTCATCAAGGAAACTTACTTTATGTATGCTATATATGAAAAGAGGTATAGTTTTTAAGTTTATTTAAATTTATTTAAATTTTAATACCACACTATTTATATTTCAACCTCGTGAATGTGAAATTTTGATACTTTAGTGGAAATTATTTAATGGAAATTATTATTCAGCTCCAATGTTATTACCCTGAGGTACTTTGGAATGTGCACACCATTTCTTCCTAATATATTCATGATCTTTTAGAGAAGAGAAACACACTAAAATAAAAATACTTTCTATGGAAGTAGGCTGTTCATAAAAAAAGAAATGACAATTTTTAATTACTGTGCTATAAATTTAAAATATCAACATTTTAATATACAAGTTGTACTCATGGTAATCATCAAGGTTAACAGTTTACCCTTCATTTACAAAAAATGAAGCATTAGAAGCACATTAAAAAATAAGACAGGGAAAATTACATAAAGAGAAGACAGAGATTACATATATAAAGCATTTAAAAATCTTACCTCCTCACAGCATCGCCTGCTTACAATAGCCCTATAGTCAATTCTATCCCAGAGTTGGTCCCTTAACTTTAAGAAGTCAGGGAATAATTTTCTCCAGTTTTTCCCTAAAGCCCATGGAAAAATTTCATATTTGGATTCTTCTTCATCTTCTTCAACTGTATTAGCGAGATACCTAAAAAAAAAGACCAACAACTCAAAAAAGAAATGGGTAAAGGACAGGAAGAGAGTTTACGCATTTACAAAAAACCCAGCTTGTTTATAAACACAATAAAAGATGTTCAAGCCTTATGATTAAAGAAATGTATATCAAAAATAGAGATACAATGAATTTTACATTGTTGAGTTCTGAATATTTTTATATTCCCGTAAATTTTGAGCTTTGTTCTAGGATGCAGTTATTTGAAACAGTCTGATCCTTTTGTCTTGAGATCATGATTTGTTAGATGGATCTGGAGCAATGTTCAGTTTGGGGCTAATTACTCCCCACTAGGGCAAGATGTTTCCAAGTACTCTACTCAGTACTGAATTATTCAGTGTGAACTGGAAGTTTTTTCAGTCTGGTGTGAGAACAGGTACTATTTGAGCCTCGGGTGAATGTTAGGCACTGTGTTCCCTCTAACCTTTTCTTATGGTCTTTCTCTACACTCAAATACCTGAGGGGGACTAGGCATGCACAAAAGTAGGAAAACAGGACAGATAAGAAGAATCATTAGCCAATCAAAACTGATATATGGTAGAAGTAATAGACAAAGACACTAAAACAATTACAATTACTCTAGATGTTCAGAAAGACAAGTAGACACATTGAAAGTATACCTCTAGAGATGAAAATTTTGTGTACAATGAAAATTACACTGAGGGTAACAGCAGATTAAATGTCACAGAAGGAAAGATTTGTGCACTGAAGACATAGCAATATAAACTATCCGAAATGAGACACACTGAGAAAACGAAACAAAAATAATGAACAGAGCATCAATAAGCTGTGAGACAACTTCAAGCAGCTTAATATAGGTGAAATTGGAATCCCTAAAGGGTGGTGGGTGGACAGAAAAAACACCTGAAGAAATAATTACTGAAAATTTTTGAAATTTGATGAAAACTATAAACCCACAAAGAAGCTGAATAAACTCCAAAGCACAAAACATGGAAAATTACACCAAAGCATATCATAATTAATTGCTTAGGGCCAGTGATATAGAGAAAATCTTAAAAGCAGTCAGAGAGAAAAACAGACACATTAAATTATACAGGAATAGAGATAAGGATGAAGCAGATTTCTTACTGGAAACAATGCAAGCTCCATAGATGATTTTCTAAGGAAAAAAAAGGCAACTTGTAATAAAAAGATTTACAAAACATATAAGGGAACAAGGCAAAATGAACAGAAACAGGCTGTGAAGTATGAAGATATTGGAATTAAAAGACAAACACCCAATAAACGGGGGCCTTAAAAGCAAACAGAAAGGTAGGCAAATGATCCCAAGTGGAAGGTTTTAGATGCAAGAAGTAACAGTAATCAAAGATATATAAATATGTGGGCAAATCTAAACAAATGTTGAATTTATAAAACAACAATAATAGTGTCTGACTTTTTAGAGAACATCATGTAGAACTAATGGAATTGTAAGATAACAGGATAGAAGTTGGGCCTTGTAATTAAAAATAACTAGCGTAATTGCTCAAAGAATAGGTGTAGGATATAAGATTTCCAAAGAAATAGAGGAAAAAAAGGTGTCAAAGGTAAAAATTTTTAAATCTCAATTAAAAAAAACATAAAAGTAGAGGAGAAAGAAGAAACAGGAAAAAAAAAATGGAAAATTTACAAAGTACACAACAAGATGGTGGGGAAAAATGCAAATATATAAGACACAAGAGTATTTTTTCCTGTAGTGAAAGTGAACTACAGCTACACGTATCAATAGAAATCAGCCTCAAAATAATATCATAAAGCAAAAGAAGGAATTTACAGAAGACACATACATATAATTTTTATTGTACTGCCCCAAAATAGGAATAACCAAATAATATATTATTTAGAGGTATATACATAGAATAAAGGAAAGCAAAAAAATGATTACTTGTGGAAGGAAGAGGCTCTAATTGGGAAACTGTGTACTGTGAGCTTCTAAGATTCTGGTAATGTTCTATTCTTAAGTCAGGGGTACATGAATGTTTTGCTTTTATTCTTTCATACACACATACATATACACTCCAATCACTCTTCTGTAGATATTTCACATTAAAAAATTTTAAAAGCATACATAGAAGTGTGAGTACATTTCTATTCATGTAACATACACACTGGTTCATATATAGAAAATTATTTCTAGACAGATACATATGAAACTGTTAATTATCCTTGAGAAGGGAGCTCAAGATCTTGAGATACGAGACTTATTTTTAATTGTATACCCTCCTATGTAGTCTTTTTAACCATGCACATATTCATATTTGTGTGGGTGTGTATGTGTGTCTCAGTTGTGTCCGACTCTTTGTGACTCCATGGACTGTAGCCCAGCAGGCCCCTCTGTCCATGGGATTTTCCAGGTAAGATTACTGGAGTGGGTTGCCATGCCCTCCTCCAGGGGATCTTCCTGACCCAGGGATCGAACCCATGTCTCTTGCATCTCCTGCACTGGCAGGCAGGTTCTTTACTACTGGTGCCACCTGAAAAGTACCCATTCATATTTAGTTACACTAATATGAGTACTTACATATTTTTATTCTCCCTTAAAATAATTATATATTTTAATATTATATGTATATTATTAATATGATAAGGCACCTCATTGTTAAACTCACTCAGTTATTTGAGTCAAACTGTGTCCTTTGTGAAATTACATCAAGTAATTTCTCACTTTAGTATCCCTAATAGTTGTTAATAAACTGTAGATAGAGTTGGAAGAGGTTGGCCCCTTTCATGCTTGCTGATTTCTATGAAAAAATCTATAATGCACATATTGAGTGCCACACTCAGTATGCCAGCAAATTTAGAAAACTTAGCAGTGGCCACAGAACTGGAAAAGGTCAGTTTGCATTCCAATCCCAAAGAAAGGCAATGCCAAAGAATGTCCAAACTACCGCACAATTGCACTCATCTCACACGCTAGCACAGCAATGCTCAAAATTCTCTAAGCCAGGCTTCAACAGTAAGTGAATCTTGAACTTGCAGATGTTCAAGCTGGATTTAGAAAAGGCAGAGGACCAGAGATCAAATTGCCAACATCTGTTGGATCACAGAAAAAGCAAGAGTTCCATAAAAACATCTATGCCAAAGCCTTTGACTGTGGATCACAACAAACTGTGGAAAATTCTTAAAGAGATGGGAACACCAGACCACCTTACCTGCCTCCTGAGAAATCTGTATGCAGGTCAAGAAGCAACAGTTAGAACCAGACATGGGACAATGGACTGGTTCCAAATTGGGAAACAAGTATGTCAGGCTGTATATTGTTCACCCTGCTTATTTAACTTATATGCAGTGTACATCCTAAGAAATACCAACCTGGATGAAAACAAGCTGGGAGAAGTATAAATAACCTCAGATATGCAGATGACACCACCCTTATGGCAGAAAGCAAAGAACTGAAGAATTTCTTGATGAAAATGAAAGAGGAGAATGAAAAAGCTGGCTTAAAACTCAACATTCAAAAAACTAAAATCATCGCATCCAGTCCCATCACTTCATGGCAAATAGATGGGGAAACAATGGAAACAGTGACAGACTTTCTTTTCTTAGGCTCCAAAATCACTGCAGATGGTGACTACAGCCATGAGATTAAAAGATGCTTGCCCCTTGGAAGAAAAGCTATGCCAAACCTAGATAGCATATTAAAAAGCAGAGACATTTCTTTACAAAGGTCCGTCTAGTCAAAGCTATGGTTTTTCCAATAGTCACGTATGGATGTCAGAGTTGGACTATAAAGAAAGCTGAGCACCAAAGAATTGATGCTTTTCAACTGTGGTGTTGGAGAAGACGCTTGAGAGTCCCTTGGACAGCAAGGAGATCCAACTAGTCAATCCTAAAGGAAATCAGTCCTGAATATTCATTGGAAGGACTGATGCTAAAGCTGAAACTCCAATACTCTGGCCACCTCATGTGAAGAGTTGACTCAGTGGAAAAGACCCTGATGCTGGGAAAGATTGAGGGCAGGAGAAGGGGACGACAGAGATGAAATGGCTGGATGGCATCACCAACTCAATGGACATGATTTTGAGCAAGCTCCAGGAGTTGGTGATGGACAGGGATGCCTGGCATGCTGAAGTCCATGGGGTTGCAGAGTTGGACACTTCTGAGCAACTAAACTGAACTGAACTGAAAACGCACTATGGTACGGAGGAACCTGGTAGGCCACAGTCCTTGGGGTCACAAAGAGTCAGACACGACTGAGCAACTTCACTTTCACTTTTCAATGTAGTATTAGGACCACATTATGGTTTCATTCTACATTAACAATTTTTCAGGCTCCATACAATGAAATGTCTATATCTTACACATATAAGTTGTCTTCTAATTTGAAATATATTTTTCTTGGAGCAGAGTCCATTTATTTTGCATAGGGTTAATTATGTTTATTCAAACAAAGAATTAAGAAATTCTATGTTAGCCACTGAGATATGCAAAAAAAGTAAGGTACACATTCCTTGCCTTTAAGTTTATAGTCAAGTAGAAAAGGCAACCAAGTATGAAAAAAATACATAACTAAAAAAATAGAAAAATAATAGAAGTTCAGAGTGTTAAAAGAATATATAGAAAATAACTTGAAATTGAACTGTGGCTGAGAAAATAATGAGAACTACTGAGTTGGGTGGGCTTCCCCTATGGCTCAGATGGTAAAGAATCTGCCTGTAATGCAGGACACCTAGGTTTGATCCCTGGGTCAGGACGATCTCCTGGAGAAGGAAATGGCAACCCACTCCTCCAGTATTCTTGCCTGGAAAATTCCATGGACAGAGAAGCCTGGCGGGCTACAGTTCATGGGACTGCAAAGAGTCAGACACGACTGAGCGACTATCACTTCACTTCACATTGAGTGGGGTTATATCAAAAGTACAATTAGATATAAAAATGGCAATTATGATTCATGCTACTTTTAATATGAAGCTTATAATACAACATGCAATAAAACCTGACATGATACTACACAGTGTAAGCTAACAAAGTGCTATGCTGGTAATAATTTTACAAAACTGGTCAAATCCCTGGGCATGTGGTAAGATTTAAATAAAGTTTCTTTTGGCTTGTTTTCAATTTTCAGGTGAGAAAAAAACTACAAAATAGAGATATACAGATCAATATACAGATATAATACTAAGAGACACATTAACAGCAATACAGCTTAGTTTCAAATGGCTGGATTTGGCCATTGGCAAATCACACCTAAATCTGTGCCCCAGTTCTGCTGCTTACTAATTTTGTGACCTTGGAAAGCACTTAATCTTCCTAAGTTTCATTTTTCCTATCTGTAAAATGGAGATAATTTAAAAATATATCTCATAGGAAAATTAAATGAGTTTATAGAAAACATTTTTCTGGTGCCTCACACATGATACTCAAACTAGCTAATACTATTATGTTCCTTCAATTTAGCAATCATCATCAAGTTTTATACTGAGTTCATTTTTCCTCTGCATGGGGAAATGTATCTCCTGAAAACATGCAAAGATCAATTTCTTCTAGTCCTATTTCTTGAATTACATTCTGAATTAAGCAGACTTTAAATTCTTCATTGCTAATAGTTGCTGTGATATTTAATTTCAATATGTTTATATGTAGCTCCTTAGGTACTTAAAATTATATTCATATTTTTCTAACTGTAGCTTTGTATCCAGGTACTGGGGTTTTGATACTGAGATTGTCTAGAGTATTTTCCACAAACTGTTCAACTTAAAAAGGCAATAGTTATAATGATTTTTACTAAATATTAAATTTCAAAGAGGATATTCTGGCTTTTAAAAAGTCTCTAAGTCCAAAAGAGGAAAATTTGGGGATAATTTATATGGAACACTATATAAAGTATGACAATGTGAAAGGTACAATACAAACTCAAGTGGAATATGAAATAATAAATCTTAGGCATAAGGTCAATGAAAAGAACATAAGAATATCCTATTAAAGTAAAAAAAAAAATACAGCTTTCAAACAGGAAGGCCTATTCAAAGATATATACCAGGGTTTAAACAGCCTCTATTTTAAATAAGGTATTGTAGATATTGGGCTTCTCTGATAACTCAGTTGGTAAAGAACCTGCCTGCAATGCAGGAGACCCTGGTTCAATTCCTGGGTCAGGAAGATCCTCTGGACAAGGGAAAGGTTACCCACTCCAGTATTCTTGGGCTTCCTTGGTGGCTCGGCTGATGAGGCAACCGCCCACAATGCGGGAGACCTGGGTTGAAAATATCCCTTGGAGAAGGGAAAGGCTACCCACTCCAGTATTCTGGTCTGGAGAATTCCATGGACTGTATAGTCCATGGAGCCACAAAGAGTCAGACATGACTTATAAATAACTACCATAAAAATCACTTAGTAGAAAGCATACTTACAGAGCAATAAAGAAATTTATCCTGGTATGCTCATTTACAGTAAATTTAGCTCTCTTGAAATAAACAAAGGTCATAGCCAAAAGATACTATAGAGAAAAAAGTTAAAAGTTAAAATTAATGCTTTGCTTTCATAAGTAAAACTGCTTTAAACTAGCTGTCTTTATATGCTAAAACAACAAAGCATTATTTATCCTTATTACAGAAACACCTATTTGAGTCCTTATTTTTTGGCTTCCTTTAATCCATATGAACAGTGAGAAGTAGTTCTGGATCACTTACGATTAAGTCATAATTGGAATCAACTCCTAAATTTTATTCTTGCCAATATTTTTTGAATCCCAAACTCATTTTTTTCTATTATTCAAACATATAAAGAAGCTGAAATAATAATCAAGTGAATAACCATACATCCTTTACCAAGATTCATCAGTTGTCACTCTGTTGCCACACTGGCTTGATGTATGTGAATATGCAACTTTTCCCCCCTCAACTCTTCGAGTTAGTTGTAGATATCCATACTCAAAATAATTAAAAAAATAACTTCTAGCCAGAAATTAGAATCACATGGCTCTATTTTCACTGGGAAAAGTGTTTTAAATGTATTATTAGGAAGACATGTCTAGCCTGTTATTAGGACCCATGCCAGGTTCTGCCTGTTCAAGTTAAAAACAAGTTACAACACAAATATATTAGATTCCCTCTCATAAAATAGCTAATTCATCCTACCTTCACAGGTTTGACCACAAAGGTGATTCCAAGTTTTTCAAGGTAACTTACAGTAGAGGACTGGACACTAGTTTGTTACAATACACTATTCCTGGTTAGTTACTTTAGAGGCACTGCCCCCTGCTGTCCAACAACTTTAATTACTGATAAGGCACTTAAAACTAAAATTTAAACTTTAGAAGTCCACATGAACTGGATATTTGATATTAAGGCATTACTGTTAATTTTTAAAGGTATTAGTGACACTGATTATGTTTAGAAATATCTCAATTTTTAGAAGTATGTCTTTAAATATTTATGGATAAAATGTTAGACTGTCTGGGATTTGCTTCAAAATAATCCAGTTTTGGGGAAAGAAATGAGAATAAGAATGGCCATGAGTTGATGACTGTTTTAGCTGGAAGGTAGGTACACAGACGGTCTTTGTTCTATCGCCTCTACTATAATTTTAAACGTACTACTGCATGTTTGAAATTTTCTAAAATTAAAATTTCAAACTTTAAAAGAAAACCTCCAATTTTATTTTTGTTATCTTAAGCTTAAAAGAAAAGAGTTTACATCAATATTAAATTAATGGGTATTTAATCATGAAGTAGTCTGTTCATTCCCTTTTCTGTTGGTTGGCACATGATCTTAAATGTGATATGAAGTCATGCTGCATTTTCTGATATGACGAACTGGTCTAAGATGACATTTATAAATTTAGAAAGATGGTAACGATAACCCTATATGCAAGACACAAAAAGAGAACAGATGTATAGAACAGACTTTTGGACTCTATGGGAGAAGGCGAGGGTGGGATGATCTGAGAGAATAGCATTGAAACATATATATTATCAAGTGTGAAACAGATCACCAGTCTAGGTTGGATGCATGAGACAAGTGCTCAGCTGGTACACTAGGATGACCCAGAGGGATGGGATGGGGAGGGAGGTGGGAGGGGGGTTCAGGATGGGGAACACATGTAAATCCATGGCTGATTCATGTGAAAGTATGGCAAAAACCACTACAATACTGTAAAGTAATTAGCCTCTATTCTGATCAAAACATATTAAGCCTAATACAGCAAATATTTTATAACTATAAATGGAGTAGAACTTTTAAATATTGTGAATCATATTGTATACCTGTATTGTACATCAACTGAACTTCAATTAAAAAAGTAATAAAAAGCAAAATCAAACCAAAACCACCCAACTAACCAAACAAAAAACATATTAAACATCATGTTTTAAATCAAGCAAATATGGGTTTAAAATCATATGAACCTAAATCAATAATATTTTACAATTCCTTGAGTATAGATGGAATGAATGTTTGTTGTATACTAATGTATAAGGATTCCATTTTGAAGGAGCAACATTAAGTTAGTTCTTTTCTTAACCTTAATTAATGATAGAAAATCATTATAAGGTTCATTAAAGTCCTGACAGTCCAGTAACATAAAAATGCTAGTTAATGATTATACTGTTATCAAATTTACCTTGTCTGCAATTTTACAGCAGCAGTCCATCCACAAGAAATCCTGAATTAAATCATCATCTACAACAAAAGAAGGCTATGACTTGTCTTTTGAAAACAGGTTTCCTTTTGAAGAATTAATTTTTACATAAGGAGATTATAAACAATGTTTATAAATCAAACAAAATGGCTGGGCTGGTACTGTCCAAAGTATAGTTTTTGGTTCTTTAGTGTGTTTACCAATGCAAGCACTGTACAGAAAACTACCACTTTATTTTTTGGCTTCCCATCTGATTTGCCTTAATATATAGCCCAGACTAGAGGGAGAATGCCAGAAGTGTTTGATTTATTGAATATTCCAGTAGCTCTTTTAGGAATGTTTTGGGTAGCTCTAGATGGGCTCTTTGTTAATTTCCAAAACAAATCTTTAACAGGTGGAAATGGAACCTGATAAAAGATAAGTCAGTCATTAAGAAATAATCACTCAATGAATACTCTGTTTTCTAAATAACTTTTACTTTTTTTTTTAACCACTTTCTCCTTTTAGGTACAGGGTATTTTTAGTTTTGGGCTCTTTTTCTATCCTCCTATTTATCTCGCCTCTGTCCAATTAGCCATTATCCAAATACACATGAAAATGTCTATGTAAAGATTTAAAATTCATTAGTTATTTATAACTAACATTTAATTTTGGAAAGACAGTATTATGACAAAAAGATCAACAGACAAAAGTAATGTTAAAAAGAATAACATCCAAAAAATAGCTAAGAAACACTCACTTCAAATAAAGGCTCAAATACATAATACCAAAATACATGTGTAGCTGTCAGAAAATAATTTGGAAAAAAAATCCACTTTTTTCCATTTCCCCCTCCGTTTTTAGTTAAATAACTAAGTATAACTTTTTGTTATATCCTAGAAATATCATCAGCATAGTCAAATAAATGGAAAGTTCCAATATGTATCGATTTTGAGAATAATTAATCTCGGCCTTGTTAATTCCATTTCTGTTTCTTAAATCACCTAAAATGGTAGAGCCATGTATTTTTCCTTATTTCCCACATTCAGTTATGAATAACAAAAAAGTTTGTGAGTAATAATTTTGCTCTACTCAATAAAGAGAGGGAACCCCCATCCCCCATTTTTTAAAGACTTCTGTCCTCTCAGCAGGGCAAATACTCTTGTCCCTAACTCTCTCTTCTTTTATGAATCTCCTTTCCTCTTTAAGCAAGGAAGGTTGTTGCCTGAATCTACCAGTCTGTGATAGCTACTTGATTTGATTCAGTCCCATAGATAAGTACCAGAATCTATCTATCCAACCCTTTATTCTGTCTACCTTACTACCTTACCTCAAAAAAAAAAAAAAAAAAAAAGTCCTCTTTCTTGGGCCAGCAGAAATACTACAAAGTTTCTTTTTGGCTATTTTTAAGATTATCAGCAAAGTAGCACTATTTCATGATCTGAACAAAATTCAATTTTATTATATGAGCATTATGATAAAGCATAGTTAATTTTTAATAATATTTCCCAGAGATTATACTTAAACTTCTCTAGGTTGACTAACCTTGCCAGACTGCTCAGTTTTAGCACTGAGTCCTGGGAAACCCCCCAGGCTCAGTGACACTGAGTCAGTTAGTTCACCTGAGACTTTATGTGTATTTACTTTAGGTCAAACAAAACTCATGCCATGACCTTGAATTGCCCAGAATTTACATTTGACACTTGAATTAAGTAGTCTAGAAGCTATATGAGTCAGAATTTCTACTCTAAAAGTAATAAAAACAAACAAAAATCTAGCACTGGGGGGAAAAAAAAAAAACAGACTAAGGCAAAAAACAAATTTGATTGGAGATAGAAAATCTGACACAGAAAATAACAGCATCCTTTTTGATTATCATGAAAATGATAAAACAGAACTTACATTATCTCACTTTTAAGTACTTTATAATTACCTCTATTACAATATTTTAAACCTACCAAATAATTTAAAGAAAGCAGTCATTTCCTGACGCTGTATAACTAAACAGGGTCCTTTGGGGCGTTTAGACTTGTTGCTATTGTGTGCATTTTTTTCAGATGCTGGCCAACTATCTTTAAAAATAGGACGCTTCAGGGTAATGGGTTTTTTAGGCTGATGCAATCTATTTGACCCTGATTTTACATGTACAGTGACAGTAGGTGGTGTCTCACAACACAGCTGATTATGTCTCATTTTGGTTTCCCACGATTCCTGTAAAAATAAAACACATAGTTATTTATCACACTCTTGTTCATGTCAAGAAAAGCTATGTTTCGTTTGGGTCTGGTATGCCTCTATTCCCAAATAATAAGATACTGCAAACTATTTTGCTTTGATTACTAGGGAACTAAAAACCAAATTTTAAAGTTAATTATAGAAACTGTGCTGAGTTTATAATCTATTTGTGGTATTCTTTTTTCCTGATAATTTTTATTCTGCTTGCATTGACATAATTTTATCATACAATTATTGTCATCGCAAATATTTTATAGAATAATGCAAACTGTTTTGATAACTAAGTTATTATCAATATCATTATTATGTTAAAAAGCAATCTCACATACACACAAACATTTCCTAACTGGTTAATTCCTGGATATGTTATAAAACTCACTGGTTCAACAAGTGTTTATTGATACTTTTGAAAAGTTAAAAACAATTCTAGCAAAGAAATGCATGCATTGCGGGATTCTCATAAATTGATCACTTTAATTTCTAAAGTTGTGAGTGTATGACCATGCTATTTGTGTGGCTGATTACCAGTGTATATGAATGTAAACTGCTATAGTCTAATAAAAATTGAAAGTTAATCCATCAATATTTAATGATATGCATAATCACTATTATGTTTGATGGTAATTAGTTCACATAATTACTAGTATTACTTTTATGATCAAAGTATTTATAGGGTAATAGGAAATGGAATTATGAATAGCCAAAGCAGCAAACTACTTTTAAGATCCTAATGAGAATCTCTGAATCCATAACTCACAGCGACCCAGGCAGTCGTGCCTCCCTCGATGTTCAGTGAGTTAGGTACAGATTCTCCTTCCTGATCCTCAGAAACTTCCCTGCTAAAGGAAGGAATGGAAAATAAAATTGGATATAGTGAGGCTAGATCAGAATTGTCCAATATAAAGTGAGCCACATATATAACTTTGTATTTCTAAAGCCACATTTAAAAAGCACAAATAAGCAAGTCAATTTAATTTTACAAATATACTTTATGTAACTGAGTATATCCAAAATATAATTTTGGCATGTAATCAATATAAAAACTAATAAGACATTTTATATTCTTCTTTTATACTAAGTCTTTGATATCTGGCGTGTATTATACTTCTATCTCAATTTTGAATGCTAAAATTTGCAACAATTAGTGAAATGTAATCTTGCCAAAACAATGATCTGGAGGTAAGGGAAAAATATATTATATTCCTTCAATATTTAATTGTAAAGTAAAAATTCTTCAGTTGCACCTGCCACATTTCAACTGTTTAATAAGCAAATATGGCTAGTAAGCTACCCATATTAGACAGCACAGGGCTAGATTATGAAGAACTAGGCAGAGTAAATTATGTTCAATTACTTTTATATATAATTCCTTCTCCTCTACTTTGCTTCCCTCCTCTCCACTCCTCTTTCTTCCTAGATCCTCATCTGTATCTTTTTTTCCCCCCAAAGAAAGAGCAACCTTACAATCTAGATGGAAAAAACTAGTCATGCTTCTCACATTGGGGTATGAGGGCTAGGCTTAGGGAGTGGGGGATAGATGTGCCAGAAAATAGAATAACTGTGGCACTTCTCCCAGGATGTCACTTTTACTTAATGTTAAGTAACTTAAAATAGTGTTGCTTTATTAAAACAACCTGGGATATATGGTGAAATAGAACGCAAATTTTCTATCAAAAAAATAATGATCACATTTTACATTATTCTGCTTCATATAAAAATTGAGAAAACAGAAACAGGAGGAAATTCCCCAATAGAGATTCAATGAGATTAATAAGCAAACACTGGCAAGAGTTATGGAGAAGGAGCTTAAGGAGAGAAGTTATCAGTGATACATTTTTGGTCAAATTCCAACTTTAGGTAACTTCTAATTTTGCTTCACTTAGACATACCAAGAGAATGGCAATAGTCAAATGAGAGTTCTTTTTAAGACAGAGGATAGTTTTTTTATAATTCTTCTTAAAAATTTATTAATTGAAGGATAATTATTTTACAGAATTTTGTTTTCTGTCAAACCTCAACATGAATCAGCCATAGGTACACATATATCCCCTCCCTCTTGAACTTCTCTCCCATCTCCCTCCCCATCCCAACCCTCTAGGTTGATACAGAGGCCCTGTTTGAGTTTCCTGAGACATACAGCAAATTCCCTTTGGCTATTTTACATATGATAATATAAGTTTCCATGTTACTCTCTCTATACATCTCACCCTCTCTTCTCCTCTGTGTCCGTAAGTCTGTTCTCTATGTCTGCTTCTCCAGTGTTGCCCTGCAAATAAATTCTTTGGTCCCACTTTCTAGATTCCATATATGCATTAGTATATGATATTTATCTTTCTCTTTCCAACTTACTTCATTCTGTATAATAAGCTCTAGGTTAACCACCTCATTAGAACTGACTCAAATGTATTCCTCTTTATGGCTGAGTAATATTCCCTTACACATACGTACCACAACTTCTTTATCCATTCATCTGTCAATGGACATTCAGGTTGCTTCCATGTTCTAGCTATTGTAAATGAGCACTAGGGTACATGTGTCTATTTCAATTTTGGTTTCCTCAGGTTTCCCTGGTGGCTCAGTGGTTAAAGCGTCTGCCTGCAATGCAGGTTCGATCCAGGTTCAATCCCTGGGTTGGGAAGATACCCTAGAGAAGGAAATGGCAACACACTGCAGTATTCTTGCCTGAAGAATCCCATGGAGGGAGGAGCCTGGTAGGCTACAGTCCACCCGGTTGCAAAGAGTTGGACACGACTGAGCTACTTCACTCACTCAGGGTATGTCTAGGAAAGGGATTGCTGGGTCATATGGTGGTTTATTCCTAACTTTTACAGGAATCTCCATACTATAAGACAGGATTTTAAAGTATGAATGAAGGCAAAGGGACAGAACTAGCTGAGAATAAATGTTAAAATACTGGACAAGAGACCTGGATTAAGACCTGATTCTCACCAGTGATATGATCTTAGGTTATTTAACTTCTGGGAGTCTCCCTTTTCTCCCTTGTGATATTGAAATAATAAAAGCACTTATTTTTTGTTAGAAGCTGGTACATAGTAAGTATTCATTTAAAGTTACCTATTATCAAAATACATATTTTGGAGGGTTAATGAGGAAAGGAACCATATGAATAATGCACAGTGCTGAATGTTCAGCAAAAACTCAACCTACGGCAGCACTATTATCATATCTTTTTTACAGGAAGAGTGTCTTGAAGAGTCCCAATATGACAGATAACCAAATTTCACCTCAACTAATAAACGTAATTTAAATGTTAAAATTTCACTGGTAACAGGCACCATAGGTATATTTTAATGTGCTTATGATATAAAGTTTGTAAAGAGACAGGTCTCAATTACTTCTAAGGTTTTTTAATTTTTTTTTAATTTAACTGAAGCTAGCTGGCCTACAGTCGTACTGCAAATGTTAGAAAAGGAGATTTGTAAAGTTTGATAAATGGGCTAAGGGCAAGCCCTGAAATACAGTAACTCAGGTCTCAGGATTCTGGTGTAGATGCTCCTGGAAAAAAAGATGCATTTAATGGGACACAAGAGGCAGGATGAATTAAAAAACACTGCTATCCCGCGCTCAGCTGTATAAAGACGGGCGGGCTGCGGGGAGGCGCGAGCTCTTTCCTAAAGGCCTTCCTTTCCGAAGGGGGCAGCGCCCGCTGAGGAAAGGGCACGGCGAGCCCTTGGGGACGAGCCTTGGTCTCCTTTGTCCTCTCCCCCGCCGACGAGTGAGCACAACCAGCTGAGCTGGTGAGCAAAGTGCGGCAAACAGCAACAAACACGGCCGAGGGGAGCGCCCTGCCTCCTCTCTCTACTACACCGTCGTCCTCCACCCCGCTCCTCCCGGCTCTGCGCAGTCCTACCGCGACGCCTCCACCTACCCACCGGCACCTGAAGAAACTCAAGGGCGGAAGTGTGTGAGGAAGGGGTCGAGACGCCGCCGCCATAGCCTCACACATTTAGGCCGGCGGGGTTGGAGGCAAGAGGGGGCGGAGGGGTCAGGCACAACCAAAACTGTAGAGTCGCCGGCGAGGCCCGAAGCCGGAGAGCGAGCGGAGGGTACCTGCGGAAGCCTGAGGCTGGTGAGCAAGGGCCGGAACAGCGGCCAGCCTTTCCCAGACGCCCTACGCCTCAGACGGTTATTCGCAGCTCACTCCACCGCGGCACCGCCGGCCCCGAGACCTCCCGCCAACCCGAGCGAAGCCGACGCAGGCCAATCAGCGCCCGGAGCCCGCCCCTTAAGGCGGGGCTAGCCCGAGGCTGCGCGAGACGCCTGCCGACCTTTTACCGTTACCTTTTCTTGTTCCCCTCCCCGAAAGGGCCTGGTAAAAAGACGGGCCCCTACCAGGCCTCTTCTTGCCTTCTAACACAACCCCTTTCCCCTGGGCACATACCAAAGTCAGGCCTGGATTAGAGCCATTTATCTTCCCTCCAGCGAGACGGAGAGGCACCGCTGGGTCGGGAATTCTGCCTCACCGCACCAAGCATATACACTGGCAGGTAGGCGAAAAACGGAGACATCAATAGCGGGAGGACGAAGAATCAGAGAGGAACTTTGCAGCAGTAATTATAAATTGCTGCTACGTTAAAATAATTACAGAAACAGAGGAAAGGCAACTTAAACTGAAAAATGTGTGAATACTGTGGCTCACTGTGAGAAGGGGTAATGATCTTCTATCCTGTTAAATCTCTTGTTCTAACTTCTACAGGCACTTTTTCGTTTTGGCGGCATTCTAGCCCTTGGCCTGGTGCCTAGGATGTAAGGTGCTTAATGTTTGTTCAATGAATAAGTAAAAGGATTCTTCATAGCATTTAATTTTGTCCTGACAGCTTTTCCTCTTCCCTTCTAATTTATAACCTGCTTCCTCACCCCTTTGATATATCAGGTTGCTGCAGTCTTCTAAGTATTTTGAATGTGCATACTACTCCAGAATGGATGGGCCAAATTTAAATCGTTTTGATATTTGCATTGCTTCTACATTTTTCAGTTACCACCATTGTTGTTGCTATTCAGTTGCGAAGTCGTCTCTTGACTCTTTGCGACCCCATGGACTGCAGCACACCAGGCTTCCCTGTCCCTATCTCCCAGAATTTGCCCAAGTTCATGTCCATTGAGTCAGTGATGCCATCCAACAATCTCATCATCTGTCGCGCTCTTCTCCTTCAATCTTGCCCAGCATCAGGGTCTTTTCCTGATGAGTCGCATCAGGTGGCCAAAGTATTGGAGTTTCAGCTTCAGTATCAGTCCTTCCAAGGAATATTCAGGACTGATCTCCTTTAGGATGGACTGGTTGGATCTCCTTGCAGTCCAAGAGACTCTCAAGAGTCTTCTCCAACACCACAGTTCAGAAGCATCAATTCTTCAACACTCAGCTTTTTTTTTTCATTTATTTTTATTAGTTGGCATCTAATTACTTCACTACATTGCAGTGGGTTTTGCCATACATTGACATGAATCAGCCATGGAGTTACATGTATTCCCCATCCCGATACCCCCTCCCACCTCCCTCTCCACCAGATTCCTCTGGGTCTTCCCAGTGCACCAGGCCCGAGCACTTGTCTCATGCATCCAACCTGGGCTGGTGATCTGTTTCACTATAGATAATATACATGCTGTTCTCTCGAAACATCCCACCCTCACCTTCTCCCACAGAGTCCAAAAGTCTGTTCTGTACATCTGTGTCTTTTTCTGTTTTGCATATAGGGTTATCATTACCATCTTTCCAAATTCCATATATATGTTAGTATGCTGTAATATTCTTTATCTTTCGGCTTACTTCACTCTGTATAATGGGCTCCAGTTTCATCCATCTCATTAGAACTGATTCAAATGAATTCTTTTTAATGGCTGAGTAATATTCCATGGTGTATATGTACCACAGCTTCCTTATTCATTTGTCTGCTGATGGGCATCTAGGTTGCTTCCATGTCCTGGCTATTACAAACAGTGCTGTGATGAACACTGGGGTGCACCTGTCTCTTTCAGATCTCGTTTCCTCAATGTGTATGCCCAGAAGTGGGATTGCTGGGTCATATGGCAGTTCTATTTCCAGTTTTTAAAGAAATCTCCACATTGTTTTCCATAGCGGCTGTACTAGTTTGCATTCCCACCAACAGTGTAAGAGGGTTCCCTTTTCTCCACACCCTCTCCAGCATTTATTGCTTGTAGACTTTTGGATAGCAGACATCCTGACTGGTGTGTAATGGTACCTCATTGTGGTTTTGATTTGCATTTCTCTGATGAGTGATGTTGAGCATCTTTTCATGTGTTTGTTAGCCATCTGTATGTCTTCTTTGGAGAAATATCTGTTTAGTTCTTTGGCCCATTTTTTGATTGGGTCATTTATTTTTCTGGAATTGAGCTTCAGGAGTTACTTGTATATTTTTGAGATTAATCCTTTGTCTGTTGCTTCATTTGCTATTATTTTCTCCCAATCTGAGGGCTGTCTTTTCACCTTGCTTATAGTTTCCTTTGTTGTGCAAGAGCTTTTAAGTTTCATTAGGTCCCATTTGTTTATTTTTGCTTTTATTTCCAATATTCTGGGAGGTGGGTCATAGAGGATCCTGCTATGATTCATGTCGGAGTGTGTGCCACTCAGCTTTCTTATAGTCCAACTCTCACATCCATACATGACTACTGGAAAAACCGTAGCTTTCACTAGACAGACCTTTGCTGGCAAAGTACTATCTCTGCTTTGTAATATGCTGTCTAGGTTGGTCATAACTTTCCTTCCAAGGAGTAAGCGTCTTTTAATTTCATGGCTGCAGTCACCATCTGCAGTGATTTTGGAGCCCCTTAAAATAAAGTCAGCCACTGCTTCTAATTTCATGTACTTAAAAAGGAATTCGGCCTTGCCTACTTTGTGGTGCATGCAAGCTCAGTCCTGTCCAACTCTTTGTGACCCCATGGACTGTGTAGCCCGCCAGGATCTTCTATCCATGGTATTCTCCAGGCAAGAATACTGGAGTGGGTTGCCATTTGCTACTCCACGGGATCTTCCCGACCCAGGGATCGAAACCGGATCTCCTGCAGGCAGATTCTTTATTACTGAGCAGCCTGGGAAGCCCCCTATTTATGGTACTTCCTAGCAATTAGTTCCTCAGTCAGCAACTATGAAGAACGATTATTTAGTTCCCTTCTTTCTTGGGCTCTCACCCAGTTAGAGGATGGCAAAAACCACCTACATGTAAGAGGATACAATCTGGGAACTCCTTTTTCATTTTAAGCATCTTGGACATTTTCTCGAATGAACCAAGTAACAAATTGGCTGTGAAAACCTTAAATACTGATTCTCTTGAAAAAACACTGCTTGAAGCCTCATCCTGCTTTCTCTGGTGGTTCTCTTTTCCCCAAGGTATCAGGGTTTACTGTGATTACTAGTTTCCAGCCTTGGGTACAGAATGTTTACTGAACACTGAATGTCTACTACAGGCATGCTGCTTTGCAGATACTACATTTTCTTTTTTACAGATTGAAGGTTTGTGACAACCCTAACAGACCTGTGCAAGTCTGTTAGCATAGCTTTTCCAGCAGCATTTTCTCACATTGTCTCTGTCACATTTTGGTAATTCTTGCAATATTTCAAATATTTTCATTATATTTGTTATGGTGATCCATGATCAGTGATCTTTGATGTTATTATTTTGAGGTGCCATAAAGGGAGCCCATAAAAGCCCATCTATAAATGTGCTTTGATTGCTCCACTAACTGGCCATTCACTTATCTCACTCCCTTTCCTTGGGCCTTTTCCCTAAGACAACAAAATTGAAATCAGGCCAGTTAAGGTTTTACAGTGGCTCCACAGTGTTTAAATGAAAGGTAGAGCTGGATGTCTCCCATTTTAAATCAAAATCCAGGCATCTTTTACATAAATGGGATTGCATACAAATTTAAAAAATGAAATATTTGATATGTACAAAAATATTAGTAATATAAATGGCAAGCCAAGTATAAAATAAACACTCAAGAAACCACTACCCACCAAAAAAGCGTGAAACCTAAGACCCAAGGAATAGAACATAATACTGTTGAGATTCTGTATACTCCTCCTCCCTCCCCTTACTTCCCGGAAAAGGTGACTTCTGTTTTTCCCACTCCATACTCCTCCTCCTCCTCCCAGGGGCTCTAAAAGCCTAACCACTGGACTGCCAGGGAATTCCCCCATTCCATTTTTTTTAGATTTACCATATTCCCAAGCATAAATCTTGTTTGAAAACTTAACATTCTCTTTATTCTCCATACTTTTAAGACTTAGACATGCTAATACATGACAGTGAATCATTTTCATTCTGTATAGGACTGTTCTATAAATATACAGTAATGAATCAATGCTCCTGTCAAGTCATTTGGGTTATTTTTTGCTATGACTGATATGAGCATTCCCGTACACAGACCTGGTTTTCTGGTGTGCTGTCTCTGTAAGGCCACTTAAGTTATTTATAGCTTGCACAGGCTCTGATTAGTTGGTTGGTTGACTGATCAGTGCACATGTATTAAAGTCAAATATTTTGAATACTACTTTTGTTTATGTATGTATGACCCATAGGGCACACATGGAGTTTTTCTATAAATGCTTTGAAGTGAAACTGTTGGCTTTTAGAGTATGCACATTTTCAACTAAGCAAGATTATCAATGCTAACTAAATTCATTTGCCAAGGAGCTGTATGTACTAATTTTATGTAAGAGTTTCCATTTGTTGACATCTTACCAACATGTTTTCAGACTTTGGGTGAAAAAGATTAATCTCAAGGTCCAGCCACTGATTCAAGCTGGGCAAAATTCACTTCCTGGAATTTTGTACTATGACCAAGTATGGCTAATTGCTCTTTTATATGGTAGAGGTTAAAAACTCTTCAGAAGTATTAGCATTGAGCAGTAATCAAAAAGAGAAAACTTCTCTCCAGTTTTCGCCACTGTACCTCTTTTTTGTCCAGTAATGAAAATATCTATTTTTATTT